TCTGGTTTTGGGAGGGGGGGGGGGGGTTCTGCCCCCACATGCACCAACCTGCTTTGTTTTGGCATGGGTTTTTTTGACCCCAGGATTTTCCGGGGCCACCACCCTGCCACAAAACAGCAATACAAGGAATGTCACAGAGTAGCAGTCCAGGGAATGCCTGCATGTGCAGTGCGTAGTGCTGCAGACAGGTCTGTGGCATCATATACCACACGTCTGCGCTCATCTGGATGTGCCCATTGTGTGCAAAATGATCTCAACTAGTTGATACTTGCCCCACATAATACATGACTCACAGTACTTTGGGGGGTAAAAAAAATGTCAGATGTATTCATGAATGAGTTGGGTTCTCTAGAGAGGTGCAACACTACCCCTCATGGAGCAAATACATGTCATTGTGCATGTGCAGACAGCGTGGCTGTCTAGAGGCCTGTTCAGTTTCACATGAGACAGATGGTTCAAGAGGGCAAGCAGTAACCAGTGAACCTGGTCTACATTCAGCTAGTGTCAGAAGATAGAAACTTGAAAATAAAGCAAGACATCTTGATACATTGTCTGTACGTGTCACAGATAATGGGGGGATGTATCTGAGTACAGCTGAAACTTCAGAGAGTGCTCAAAGATTTTTTGAGAAAAAATGTGCATTGTGTGTGCAGTGCTGCAAGGAGAACGTGAGGATTAATGGATGGAGACTTTTTGGGGGGCAAGAATGTTTTGGGCTGTGATGAGAATAGGGAGGTAAATAAAGAAGTATGGTAAGGCAGAGGTCTCAGGACTCAATGATGGAGATTAGGTGGAGTGGGAGAAAAGGGTTAATGTGAATCTAGGTGCAATAGAAGTTGCAAAGCTTGGTTCAAGTACAGCCTGGGCTGCATAATTATGGATGTGTGCAACCTTCCAGCAAAAAATGGCCTATGCGGGGGTGGGGGGCATGAGACAGTAAGTAGAATCTTTTATGTACTAGTACCATCCAAAATGCTGGTGGCTTCATGGGATGGGAAAGGAAAGGTGAGCTGGAAATAGTGGGAGAGAATAACAGGAGAGGGAGTAGAGAAAGGAGAGATACACCGATCCTTTCTAACGTGCTTAAGCTTACAGAAACTCAAGTAATAAAACTCTTAGTGTCATACATCTGTCACTTGCCCTGGTAGCATGTATGTGTGCCCTACCACAGCCCACAGTCCCATTCTACTATAAATCCTAGGAGGACACAAGATGCTACCATCAACCTGAACATTTTGTTAATGAAATTGTCATTGATTAATACTGAGAAAAGTAATGAGTAACTATTTAAGTCTGTTCTTATAAAACTCCCATGGATTTCAATTTGATGGAATGTTGTGGATTCAACTCTCATTTATACCTGTATCAACTGAGGGCATCATCACTGGTTTCATGAAATTATTCCAGATTTACATGAGAGGGGGGAGAGGGGGAAGAAATGTGAGCAATATTGGCTCACTATTTGTTGCCACGGTGTAATGCTTTACTTCTTTAAAACTTAGGCTGATTTCTGTATTCATTTAAAGATTAATAGAACTTAAAGTGTATTTCTTATGTCTGCAATTAGCCATACATGTTTAATTGCCATGGTGGTCTGTCTGGAAGACTATGATAATTTTATGAAATTATTTATTTTGAATCACAAATTCTGATTCCGAGGTCAAGGTTATTCTTTTTTTTTCCAACACATCATTCTACTTTTCTCACCACCATCTATGAGCTCTGTATGTTCCACAGATAACAACACCTCTTTATAAGCAATTCAGTCAATAAAAGCATTAACACTATCTTAGTGAGAAATTTCTAAAAGCACTCAGCAAAGACTTAACTTTATTCCCTTTGAAGTCAGCAGGGGTTTTGGCATCAGCTTCAATGGAAGCAGAAAGGGAGCAACACTGAGCACAGTGGAAAATTCCACTTTTAATAATTAATGATTTGCATATCAGATTGCAAGATTATGTTGGGCCCTTTTGCCATTTTTACATTAATTTTAGAAAGGTTTTCTTATTAAATAAAGCATTTTTAATCAATATATCTTCTTTGGTTCTAGTGCCGTGTTGGTATAAATGTCCATAATTTGGACTGAGAATTTTAAAAATATGTTAAAATGCCAAAATCTCATTTTACACATTTTCTTCAAAATGAAAATACCCACCTAAATACCCAATGATATATGATAGTGGTTTTCTAGTGCTTTTGATCTTCAGGGGACTTCCAACGACTTCACAATGTCTGTCAGCATCTGACAACAGAAAATAAAGTTATTTTAATTTTTTTTAATACCCATACAAATTACACATACAGTTCTGACATATGTACAAAGCTTTCCCTCTGTAGTCCAGGTACAAAACTCTACTGTGCAAAAAAGAAAACATTTTCTTTTTGTATGTATTTCTCTATTGCATATATAGTATATACAGAAGACAAAGCTGCAAAACTAGCTTAGCTGCTCAATAATGGAAACATAAGTCAGTTAACTATTTTTTCATTTTGGAAAGAAAATAAAAAAATTATCATAGTATTTTTTTAAGTTTTGTCTATCCAAAATATTTCTGACTATTAACAGACACCTTAAATTATCAAATTATATGTAAATACTTTGTTGCATTTTCTTTCTTTACACCTTTTCCTGCCCTCAGTCCTACGCTAATGTAAGGAAAAGCCAAAACAAAAAGATTACAGAAAACAAGTCCACCTGGCAGTAACAGAGTTGAAGGGGGCAGAAAAGGTCCCAGAAAGTGAGGAAACAGATGCGGAGAACCTCTCCAAAAAGGAGAGCATAATGCACGCACAAAAAAAATGTGAGAACCTTAACAAAGATGGTTGAAAACCTCAGAAAAAAGGAGTGGGGTGGGGGAAAGATTTGGCTGAGGAGATGGTAAGGATAGATAAAGAAGAGAAGGAAAGGGAAAACCTGAACCCACATGGGTGACTGGTGCCTCCCGAGTCTGGGAGCCTATGGGGCCTATTGCCTACGGGTGGGGTGGGGGGGGGTCCCCAGAAGTTAAAGAAAGTGATAATTCAGACATGAAATTCCAGGGGGAAAAAGGGTCTGGGATTCCTGGGGAGCCCAGAGGCAAATCAGAGCGTCCTACTCATGTAGGAGGGCCACCTGGGGGCAGGAATGGTAGAGGGCCCTTCTTTATAAGGGTGCTCTATAACGCTTCTGAACTTTGACTACAAACTGATGACCAAAATCTTGAATTAGCATTTTAAGTCTGTTATAGGTGCAGTGATCCATGAGGACCAGTTGTATGTGGTGGCAAGGTAACAGATCCACGGAGTCCTGATGCAGCTACAAGATGCACTATGATACCAACAGAAGAGAGGGCTGAACTCTACCATGCTCTCAACACAGAGAAGAGAAGACCTATGTCCAGGTATCCCATTGGTTCCTATTCAAGACACTGAAAAAGGGACCCTGCAACCTTTGTCACCTGGATAAAGACATTGGACACCAGCATGAGCAGCAGGGTACTGGTAAATGGGCCCCTGACAGCCCTGATTGCAGTGGAGTCAGGAGTCCAGCAGCACTGGCAACCCTTTCTGATCTTGTTTATCTGCCTTTTTATGCTCCACTAGCACAGCGGCTCACGTGAGATCCCTGGATCAGTGGAGTAGAGAACCCTAGGAGTAACCAGGAAGAGACAAGGGTCCTGGCCTACATGGATGACCTCAATATCATATGCTGGGACAAGTGGCAGGTTGAAAGTATGTTATAACACACCCAGATATATGGAGCAGTGATGGGGACCAAGTTCAACATGAGCAAAAGCACTTGCCTAGTACTGGGCAAACTCAGGGACCCATCAGCCCTGGGGGTAAATATCCTCAGGATAGAGTTCAACCCAGAGCTGACCAGATAGAGGGCATGGAAACAGACTGAGGTCAAGGCTTAATGGAGATTGGGACTATAGAAATCGTGCTGCCTATCAATGGATGGTGGGGATTGTGTGACACTCATGAGTACAGTGTTACTACTAGTGCTTCTGCACATTGTGCTAGTCTTCTTCCCCTTAAAGCACGTCATTCACAGAATCCAAAGAGCCACACGTCTTCTTCTGGGGCTCCAGATTGGAGAAAGTGGTGAGGCCTACATTGTTCAAAATAAAAGATCTGGAGGCAGAGGAGTGCCAAACATCGTTGGGGCCAAGTACATGAGCCAGATCTGCAAACTGGTGATGGGGATAGAATCCAAAACAGCCCACTTTGTAAACTATTTTGCAGGGCAACTACTGCAACAGTGGAGGGTGTATAAGATGATCAATGTGAGCTCGTGGACCAAGGAGTTGCTGTGGCTCTATAAGGTCCCAAAATGCTTTTGGAACAAATACAAACTGTAAAATGAGGCCCCAGTGACCCTGATGAACCACTGTAAGAAGCAGGAAGTGGTGCGGGCAATACACATCATGTCTCCCATGGACCTACTACCCAGCTACAGCTGCCAGGCCATGTGGGGGTGAATCTTTCACAAGAACCTGCAGGATCACAAAGACTTGAACTGGCAGGTATCCCACTAGGAACTCCCTGTGTGGGCATGGAAAAACTGAGGGGAAGAGATGCCCATTAAACTGTCCCAGGCAAACCTGCCAGTGGAAGACAGAACCAATTGATCACCACATCCTCTGGTACTCCCTATACACCAGGGAGGTGAGGAGGAGAGTCTGCATACTCCTCCTGATAGTGACTGGGTTCATAAACCTGACCAGAGAGGCGGTTCTGTAAGAGCACTCGACTAAGCAGCAAGGGACCCTGACAGCCTGCTTCGACCAGTTCATCCCTGCTTTAGGAATGCCCTGTGGAAGACAGAAACCTGCTCACAAACAGACACACAAACCTTGCAGTCAAGGGCTGCATTAAAATGGGACCGAGCGAGATGTACTAGTACTACAGGAAGATGGCAAGAAATGGTGGACATCATATGGAAGAGAGGGGACTGGCACGAACTGTTCAGAAACAGGTTTCCTGAAGAGAGCAACGATGATGACGACAAGGATGACGATGATGGCAATGGAGATGATGAATACAATGACATGCGAAAGGGCTGGGGAAATATGTAGGAGTTGGGAGGGGGATGGGCACTAAGGTGGTCCTTCGTATAACTGTCATGGTTAAAGGCGACAGTAACAGGCAAATGGGTGCACGGGCACATGGGAACGCAGGTGCATGGTGCAGATTTGTGTAATGGGAATGAAAATGGTGTAACCATAAAAGTGTGTTTTGGACTGTCAAGGGAACCACAGCAGTCACAAAACAGGTTGCTAGAGGTATAGGTATATATATGATATGTAAAATAGATATATCTATATGAATCAATCTATCCATACATCTATAATATCTAAATTATACCTGTCTACCTATCTATACACATCTATATATACACACAAACATATAAGCAGCATATGTATAGAAATAAATATTTCTGAAAGAAAAAAAAAAGTGGTAGGTTCCCATCAGTATGTTTGCCCTATATGGGCCATGTGTTTTATAGTCATGCTCAGTATTGGCTGCATTTAATCAACTTTGAAATTGGCTTCCGCTGCTGAGCACATGCTGCTTTTGGCAACAGTTTATTAATATATAATACATTTAGTGAGATTTCCTTGTATGTGAATGTACATACAAGGGGCTTTTTCCCCCCTATGCTGATTGGGGGAAAATCTCATCTTATATTCAAGTAAATATGGCATTATAGCCTGAACTTGGTCCTCCAACACAGGACAGAAATGCCAGGTGGTTCTGTCTCACCCTGAACCTCTAGATATTGATATGTAACCTTGTCCTGCCCTTGGATATTGTTCACATGTTCTCCTCAGGTTAGCAGGCAGCCACCCATCATGATTGTCAATGACTGCTGGTAAGAAGGGAGTGGGACCTCACTGCAAATATTGGCTGGGTCCTTCTTCTACGCAAGTGCGGACTTAAGCAGAAATGGAGTGTTTACATCCATGCTCAAGGACATCCTTCCAGAAGATTAGACAGATCCCAACCCTTTGCTAGCCAGTTGTTTAAGGAAGAATAAGTTATAATGTTGTCTTGAATGGGGCCATCACCACCAATAGGATGTAGTGTATCCTCTCTGGTGTGTTGAAAGGCTGGTGTAATGATACAGCCTGGTACCATTAGTGGTTCTTGTTGGCCTGCCACAAATTATGGTTTTTGCTGTAGGAAGACAAGATGGCAAAATGAAAATAAATATCCTAATCATCAAGAGATGCAAACCAGTCCCTATGGAGTGATGGAATCAACATCTCCTTGGGTGAATCTGATATCCTTTATTAGACCAACCCAAATAGTTGGAAAATAATTATTAAGCAAGCTTTCAGGTTCAAAAACCCTTCGTCAGGCTAAGGAAGTTTCAGCAGTTGGTGTGTGCTCTTCCTGGATGGAATGAAAAGTAAAGAAGCCAGCGGCTGGGCTGGTATGCATACACACGGCTCCAACCTACACCCCTGGAATCAACATCTTGAATTCAAGCTTATAGATAAAGGAGTCAAGTTGTCTTAAATCAAAGGTGGGATACCATCCTCCTTTTCTTTTGCGGACCAAGAAATAACTCCTGTAGAATCCTGTTCTGCTCTGTGGTGGAATTTCCATGGCTCCCAAAGCTGGGGAAGTGAATGCCACTTGAAACAAAATCTTAGGTCTCCAAAAAGGAAAGTGGGAAGTAGATTTGAAACAGACTCCATGGTAAACTGGATTGTATAACCAGCCATGATGGTGTCTAGGACCGAACAGGTGTGTCTACATGTGACACTATGTCGCCATAGCAACGTGCTACAGCAACATAGCATCTGCAGGCAAGAACTGCAGCTATGTTGTCATAGCGATGTGCTACCTCATTATAGTGCATTGCTATGGCAACAAAGTGCCTAAAAATAACTGTGTGGTGCACATGGCGCAATACAGGCTGTTACTACACCATCTTTTAGCACTTCCAAAAGGAACAATGTCACCATAGCACCACATGTAGATGTGCCCAGTGAGCAGCTGGCAGAGTCCTGTTGCAGGAGGGGCAGTTTAAAACAAGGTAACCTGCAGAAGCCATGCTAACAGTCCAAATGAGGGGGGAATGGAGTTTATGTCAGCTACAAAAAAAACGCATGGCAGAGGCCAAGAAAGCAAATGGTCTCTGCAATAAAAATGGTAGGAACAAAAAAGAAGAAAAAGAAAAACAAAAAAGGCACAAATCAACATGAAGGGTTCAAATTGTGTTTTTGGCCTGTAACTACTGTCTGAACA